TTGGGTATAACAGAAAATGCTAGCTGTTGGGTGCAGTTTCTGCTGTCTCAATTCTAAGGGGATAGCTTATTGTTTTGGACGGAGAGAGAGGACATGGACTTTGCCAACATATTTCTTATAAAGTTGCTTCTTTTTTAATTTCCGTATTAAGTAAAATGAGATGTGTGTGAATAAGTCTTCATAATAAAATACTTTTTTCACTTCAACTGATTGGATGTGCAAGTAACTTGCATATATATTCATGGCATAACTTGATTTGAAGTGTCATTTCTATTATTTCATGTCATGATTCTTTTCTATTGTAATAACAGTCCTCCAAAGTCCTGTTTAGATGAACAACAGTTAATAAATTTTGTAAACAAATGTATAAATAAATTTTGCAACTTGGTTAGGATCACACTTAATGGAACATTTAATCCTCCATTTATGTTTCCACACACTTCCAGGAAAAACAGTGCTTACAGAGGTGTGGTGTTATGATGACAGCACCACACCTCTGTAAGCATACATGGCCCTCTACCAGTTCACTGCTTCTATCTAGCTAGTGGTGGTGAGATTGTTGGACTGAGGACCTGGGGGATCTTGTTTCTAGTCCCCACTTGGCCATGAACCTCAATGGGTGTCTTTGGGCCAGTCAGATTCTCAGTTCAGCCAACTCACAGGGCTGTCATTGTGAGCCTTAAATGGAAGAAAAAAAGATGGTATATAAATGCAAGATAATGATGGTGGTAGTGGTGATGGTGGTGGTGGCGGCAGCGGCGGCGGCGGCAGCGGCAACAGACACTGATAAGATCATCCATACCCTTATGCAGGGATTTTGGAAGACAATGTTACTATATTCCTGAATCTTATCTTCTCAAGCAAGCCAGTTCTATAATAAAGGACATTTTCTTCCTAGATCTAACCCTATATATAAAATTTACTAGCATTAGTTTAATGGTAGTGGCCCACTTGTTGCTTACCTCTACACTATTGCATAGCTAATAGCTTTTCATCAATGCACAGAGGATATACCTTTTTTTTGTGAGGAAGGGGAATCTAATTACCAAAAGAGTAGTAATTTATACTGTGGCTTGCTGAATCCTGTCTAGATTTAGAGAAGGCAATAACAAAATTAATTACAATGATGGTAAATGGTAGTGTAAATAATATTCCACTCGTATATAATTGAGAGCTCTGGTCTAAAATTTAAGGAGACATGTCTCTTCTAAATCTGATTTAGATACTTGACATTTTAAACACCAGGGCTGGAAGAACAAGAATTAACAGCAGACAGTCATGATGATACTATGTCTATAAGCAGGAGCAGCAGGATCCATCTTTTTTTCAAGATGAGTTTCTCAATGTTAGAGCTAGTGCTGCTGATTTTCCACTTGGTGCACAATGGTTCTCTCATTAAGTGCAGGGTTCATGATTCCTCTCACATTATTCGCAAGTTCTATAAGCCAGGAGATATCATTATTGGAGGTGTTGGTTCTCAGAGTTTCATCATCTCCACTCCAAAGGACTTCAGTAAAGTACTACCTCAGACACCATCAGAAGAAACCATGTAAGATTACTGCTACCCAGTAGTATAATGTTCAACCCCATGTATTATCAAACAGGTTTCAGTTGTATTGGCAGATTTGTGCAATGGCAAAGTATATAGAAGTTACATCGCTAAAGCCTCAGATGACTCCCAGCTCCACAGAGTTCTTTCTTTCCTTTAGGATACTTTGAAAAGGGACCAGGTGCTGCCCTAACATTTCATACCCTGCCCCTGATCCACAATGCCCCTCTATTTTGAATGTACACGAAGTGTATTGCATCAATACAGCCAGAAACATCACAGATTTTCCATGCTTTGGGCTGGAC